CTGCACGAGCTGTGGCATGTCGTATGAAGATATCTCATCAATGCTCGATGAAAAGCGGTGGGCAACGGCGGATGATCGGAAAACCCTTGGTTTGAAGCGGTTTCTGTTCATGTATTGATTCTCTCAACTCTACTATGGAGATCACAATCCAGTGATTTCTGTGCCGGTCGCAAGTCCGAAAAAATGAGGAGCTTTAAACGGAGGGGTGCAGATACCACCGTTTGTAAAACAGAAAAGACGAAAGTAACCAACAGTAAATGGTCGAAATTGAAAATCATACTGGTTCGGACGTCGCCTGGGTGAACAAGATCCGCGTCCTCTGTCGTGGAATCAGGATAGAGTCAAAAAATTAGCTACTAGAATAACCATTCATACAGAAACAACAACAACAAGACATACAATAACACCATCAACACCAAAAAAGCACACTCCAATACAAGAAGTAGTAACAACAACAGTGAACAAGCGTGGCGTGCGCAAACTAAAATTGACGAAAAATATTTTTACTGCTGATACATGGAATGTTCGAACACTATGGGCAACTGGCGAACGGGAACTACTAAGGAATGAAAGAAGCGTTACAGATATGATGTCATCGACATTTCAGAAGTACGTTGGACAGGAAAAGATGAAATATCGAATGGTGATTTTATTTGCTTCGGGGAAAACAACACACACCAGAGGTGTTAGCATGCTACTCACAATGGAGGTGTTTGTGTTGTCAGTAAAATCGATTAGACATATTCGTGTCAAATGAAAACTCTCACCGCCAAACTAACATGGTTAAAATATTAACTGCCAGTGGCTTGTCTAGAAGGAGATGTTCGATTTTTACGGTACTCATAGTTTGCATATACGGGAATATTAAGATTATTTACATTAATTTTATTTCAAATAAATTGAGTGTTTCAATAGTAGACATCAAGAATCTTCCTGCGATTTATCAATAACATTAATATCACATTAATTTCGATGTCTTCTAGGACTTGACTAGTACCGAAATGAAAAATGAGATATATGTTTGAAAAATGACCTGTATGTATAATTTGAAATTAAAGTGCGTTGATGCATTACTTGGTGTCATATTGACCAGTTCCTCGCAATTGGTGTTAAAAAATCACCAAGAAATATACTATCGAAAAATTATTCTTTTTCGCTCTTTGCTATATCTACCGGATAAAAAGGTTTATTTAATTAAATTAAAACATGAATTTATTGAAAATCGCTAAACATCTTCTCGATTTGACTCAAACTGAATTCGAATCTGGAAATTCTGTAACAACTGCTGATGAAATTTTTGCTGGAGAACGATTATTCGAAGTTCTGAAGTCGTTTAAAGATAGCTACCTTACTCAGCTGTATACTTAGGATACTTTCGAATTTGGAGATGAATATGATGAAATGGCTGAGGAAAGAGAGAGTGATGATGAGATGTATGATTTTGATGAAAATGATCGTTCTGATTTAAAAAATCGTTTTACATTAGAAGAAATGGAAAATATAATCGAATGAGTTGATCAACATCCGAATGCCAAATTTGCAACTATTTCCCATTATTTCAGAAAAATCAAATCCATGACTTATATTAAAAGATTTAGAGAATATATCAAAAACAACGGCACAAGATTAGAAAAATTTAAAGAAATTAAAGAATTTATGTTTAATGAATTTTATCTGAAAAGAACAATTGAAAAAGAAGTCGTTCATGATGATGATCTTGAACTTTATGCAATTCAAAAAGCAAGAGAATTAGATTGGGATACATTCATGACAAGCAAATCGTTTATCAATACTTTTAAAAAGGAAAACAGAATATCATCAAGAAGATATAATAAAATTATTACTCGAACTAAACCAAACAGAAATATCTGCAGTTTAAATGGTAATCAAACTTTTTTTTGAGCTTTAAATTGTTGTCTTAATGTAATATATATATATCTAGATGCTCAAAATTGGATCAAAAGTAAAAGAGCTGTAATATCGAATTATTCTTCTCATCAAATTTTAAACAGTGATCACTGTTCATTTCAAAAATAATATGTTTCACCAAGGACCCTTTCTTTTACTGGTGAAAGAACAACCGAAGTGTGGCTGTTAAAAAGAAACACAACTTAACGCACTCTTATACTGTACAACCTGTTACATCAGCTGATGGTCGATTATTAGACAAATTTCTACTTATCCTTCAAGAAAAAAGAAAATCAATTCGGTCAAAGAGTATAAAATGATTTAATTGTACCACCAAGTGTTGTCGTAAAAGCTTCAAAATCAGAAAAAAGCAGCGGTGAGAAACACCATACTTTTTTAAATGAAGTTCTACGTCCATTGGTTAGTAAAAAATTTCTTTTCTTCCTTGATTCTTGAAAAACTCAAGCTAATCTAACCAAATTTAGAGCAGTATTTCCTAATCAAGCCAGTCAATTATTGATTTTTCCTGAAGGATCAACCGATTATATTCAGCCACAAGATCTTTCTTTGTTTCGCTCATGACGACTTATTCATATTAATCGAACAGAAATTACCATAAGTAATCGTCAATATTTCATCAACATCCATTCTATTATTCACAATCAATTATCAGCTTCACGGTTTAAAAATCTAATTAGAAATGGATTTATACAAGCTGGAATGACAAATGAAACGACTGGGAAGATTGAAAAATCAAAAGATGTTTGCTTCAAATTTTATGATCTGTACTGTTCAATTAACAATTGCAATGAACGAACACTATTAATGTGTGCTTAGTACGAAAAAACTCTTTGTTAAAATAGTATATTATATAATCTATTGCTTTCAGTTGAAATAAAATAGAAACTATTGCTAATTTAGAGATTCTGATGGCTGCTAGCTGATCTTTTATCTCTATTGATGCGACTTAAGTTCTAGAAGACATCGAAATTAATGTGATATTAATGTTATTGATAAATATCAGAAAGATTCTTGATGCCTACTATTGAAATACTCAATTTATTTGATAGAAAATTAATGTAAATAATCCTAATATTCTGTACATCCAAACCATGAGTATCATAAAAATCGAATATCTCCTTCTAGACAAGCCAATGGCGGCTAATATTTTAACTATGTTAGTTTGACGATGAGAACATTGATTTGACCAGAATATGTCTAATCGATTTCACTGACAATACAAACACTTCCATTGTTAGTGATTTAATTGAAATTTCAAAGGTCATATTGACAGTTAATATTTTTTTGACAATTACTATGTTTTAGCTTATAGAAATCTTGGCAAAATAATTCATTAAAGCGCAATACTAAAATATTATTCTAAAGATTTGAAATTTGAACCAAATGTTTCTTCAAAACAATATTCTCATCATCAATCATATACAAGACATCTATGAACAATAAATATTTAGAACATATCAAAAGTAGTGAAGTTGATACTTTAAATTCTTATAGAAGGCTGACGAAAATTATCTTTCTACATATATTGATGTGTCCAAATAAAGTTCTACAATCCTGAACGTAGTATCTTGATATTATGAAACATTGAATTTTTCCAAAATCACTCATATCTGAAGGAGTGTACCTGAATCTTTGAATTTTGAAAATTCAATAGCGCGTTTAGAAAACATTCTTATGGATTGAAATTTTTCAGGACATTCTCGTTACAAGTAGATCTGTCTGTGGATGAAATCTCATAGTAAAATATCCCTAGTTGATTTATAGATGCATGCCGTGCTACAGTCATGAATTCCAGTGAAACGACTGTAACTTAGAAAGGAAACTCTAAAGATGCTTTTCTTTCTACAGTTTTCTATATTTCACTCGGATCTCTTTTTTCAGAGAGCCTGGAGTCGAATACGATTGATCACATGAAATGGTTTTCTCAATGGACATATTTTTTTTTGGTCTCGTATGATAGCAAGTGTTCTCCATACTTGTGAAAACAGATCTTGTTTGCCTTTTGCGTACATGTAATTAGTTGCCCAGTGTCCTCAAGAAGGAATGTTTACAAAAAAATTAACAGCGAACTTGAACATATTCCAAGTTTGCTATTATAATATCACCTGAAGAATAATAAAATATTATAGAATTCTAGAGCTCGATTTGGGCTATCAGCATATGTTTAAAGACAATACCCTCAAATCTTCCATAAGACTTTATAGTGTCGCCGTTAATACTTTTGGTATTCCTTGAGTACTGATGTTTAGATATGTCATCATATCCATATTTGGTCGGATTGTATCGAATTATAATTTCAGTTTTGTATCAAATGAATATAAGTTAACATAGAAGTATATAAATCTTTGAAATAATAATGTGAGAAGATGTTTTTAGAATAAAACTTATATTTTCTTCTAAAGTTGACAAATTTATCGCTTATATATCAAGAAAAACGTGATTTTTCATCTTTATTTGTTTCGAATTTTGTTGGATGAAAAAGATGCCCGCCCGGATCTAGTGCATGTTGTAAAGAAATGTAATATGTACTATAATTTCGTCACTTATATAATTGTTAATGCTTTATGTATTTAATTTGAAAGACATTTGTATGAAATCATTCTCCTGAAATTTGAATTCCTGTGACTGTATTATTGGAACACCTCAATAAATGTCATTCCATTACAAATTTATCTATTGTTAAGATTTTCAAATTGATCTTCAGAATTTTAATAGCTCATTGTATGGCCAACAAACTCTAAAAGTTTCATATGATTGAAATCTCATGGAAATGTCCATATATTTCTCTCTCTTTGTTCTCACTTCGCTTTATTCATCTAGATCCATAATTTCACTATGAAAAAAAACAGTGTTGGTTAGTGATATATTAATATCATTTTACTAGCATTTACGGTAAATGTATCAAGCGATTAATTTTATTCAAATATTAAACTAATAAACTAATTAGAATAATAAAATGAATAGTTTAAAATAAGTTGATTAATAATGGGATTAGTAATGGTGATATAAAAAAATATTAAATAGTGTTGCGTAAAATAATTAGAAAGTTTTAAATATACCATATAGATTTCTTATTTAATTATAACCTTTTCCGTACTACATCGACCAAAGTTTTCTGGTGAGTACATTTCTTCGGCTTTAGCTGGTGGAATGATAAATTTTCCAGCACATGTTGCACGCATTACATAACTCCATTCATATACACCAGACCATAATACCGATCGAAATGCTTCAGCACGTTCATCTCGTAAATTTTCATGTTCAGCCCAACCATTAGTTGAATATGGTCTACATCCACAATAATAAAGATTTTTATTTGATCTTGTGACTGATGATTGTATATCGCCAGTCAATGTACCTTTTAATTTTGTATTTAATGGTTCACAACCAGCTGGTAAATAATCAACTAATGCTATATGATATCGCTGTTGTGTTGTNTAAAATAATGTAAATTAAAACCATATTTTTTCATATAATGATTGATATTTATTTTAGTTTAATTTTTTTTATTTCAATTTTAAAATAAACTACAATTATTTAATTTAAATCTATTTTTAAATTCAAATTGTCAGAATTGATACTAAAAATAAAATGTAATTCTCATATAAAAATATTAAGATTATTTTTCGAATAAAATTATTCTTAATTCCTTTTGTAATTCAGAAATTATATAGCATATAAATAGGTAATTCCAGTTAAGATGTAGACAGCTGCTTTGTAATTCTATCTGGTTTTTTGTGTTTCATCGTGTTTTTCTGGTTTCCATACGAACCAGTCCAAGAGGGTTGTGTGGCGATTAAGGTCGAAGCAAACAGGACATTTTGAAGAGTCGAGACTAAAATCTGGGTGTGAATTAGCACTACCTTCTCAAAAATGGACCAGTCATGAACAATACAAATGACGCTTCTACTAGTCCGTGTCACTATTGAAAATAGTCCAGACTAGTCAGGTCCTCGATATTGTCTGACAGAACGTTCGAATCCACCTATCTTCACCTAATCCTTCTGACTTTTTTATTTTATGGATGAGTCTGGACAATATAAATAGACTAGACTTGACTGGTGAAAAGACGTTCTTCACTTGACATAGAATGACTTTTATAAACTTTGAACTACTCCAATCGCTAAAGTATGTCATTTTGTGTACAATATATTAGTCATGACTACTGCTGAAGACGCATTAGACTAGTCTGGACGTGATTTCCAGAAATTTCCGACTGGTCCAGATACGAAGTATGACGTTTCATGCTGAACACACTAGACTTGACTCTCAAACAAAATATTTTGGACTAGACATGACGGGCAGTACTGACGTTTCAGACTAGATATGTCGCCCGTCCTACCATTTTTTTTTCTCGCCTGGCCACTCATATCTGAAGAAGTGTACGAGAATCTTTGACTTTTGAAAATTCAATAGCTCGTATAGGAAACATTCTTATGGACTGAAAATTTTCAGAACATTCTAGTTACAAGTAGATCTATCTGTGGGTGAAATCTCATACTGAAATATCCCTACTTAATTTATTGATGCGTGCCGTCTTATAGACATGAATTTCAGTGAAACGATCGTAGCTTAGAAAGGAAGCTCTAAAGACACTTTTCTTCCTAGAGTTTTCTATATTTCACCAGGATCTCCTTTTTCATAGAGCCAGAAGTCGAATACGATTGATCACTTGAAATGGTTCTCTCGATAGACATATATCTTTTTTTTCTCTCGTCTGATAGCAAGCGATCTTCATACTTGTGAAAACAGATCTTGTTTGCCTTTTGCATATGTGTAGTTAGTTGTCCTGTATTCTCAAGAAGGAACGTTTACAAAAAAATTAAGAGCGAACTTGAACATATTGAAAGTTTGCTATTATAATATTACCTAAAGAACAATAAAATATGATAGAATTTTAGAGCTCGATTTGGGCTATCAGTATATGTTTAAAGACAATATCCTCAGATCTTCTATAAGACTTTATAGTTTCGCCGTTAACACTTTTGGTATCCTTTAAGTATTGATGTTTAGATATGTCATTATGTCCATATTTGATCGGATTCTATCCAATTATAATTTCAATGTTGTATCGAATGAATATAAGCTAATAGAGAAGTATATAAATCTTAGAAATAATAATGTGAGAAGATGTTTTTAGAAGAATAAAATGTATACTATCTGTGTGCAACCATTTTCCTGGATTTTGAATTTCTGTGACTGTAATTATTGAAAAGTCGTAATAAATGTCATCCTATCATAAACCTATTTTTGTTATTAAGATTTTAAAATTGGTCTTTAGAATTTTAATAGCTAAATATAGTCTACAAACTCTGAAAGTTTCATGTGGTTTGTAAATAGTTCTACATTTTATGGTTGAAATCTCATAGAAATACTCATCTGTTTCTCTCTCTATGTTTTCACTTCGCTATGTCCATCTAGATCCGCAGATTCACTATGAAAGAAGCAGTGTTAGTTAAACATCTATGAATACTATTGTACTAGCATTTGAAATAAATATATCAAGCGATTAATTTTATTCAAATATTAAAGTAGTAAATTAATTAGGATAATAAAATAAATAGTTTAAAATAATTTGATTAATAATGGGGTTAGTAATGAATATATAAAAAAATATTAAGTCATATTTTAGTAAAATAATTACGAAGTTTAAAATCTATCATATATTTCTTATTCAATTATAACCTTTTCCGTACCACATCGACCGAAGTTTTCTGGTGAATACATTTCTTCGGCTTTAGCTGGTGGAATGATAAATGTTCCAGCACATGTTGCACGCATTACATAACACCATTCATATACACCAGGCCATAATAACGATCGAAATGCTTCAACACGTTCATCTCGTAAATTTTCATGCTCAGTCCAACCAATAGTTGAATATGGTCGACATCCACAATAATAAAGATTTCTGTTTGATCTTGTTACTGATGATTCTGTATCGTCAGTCAATGTACCTTTTAATTTTGTATTTAATGGTTCACAACCAGCTGGTAAATAATCAACTAATGCGATATGATATCGTCTTTGTGTAGTTGTCATTGTTAATATGACTTTGATTTTTTCACCTAACTTGAATTTCCATGTACCATCTGATTGTTTCTGAACATGTGATGAATCATTGATAGCTATGTATGTTCGTTCAATTTTAAAACCATAGTTAACTGCATTTAATTGTAAATTTGATGGAGCATAATTCNTTACGCTTCTGGGACGCGGGAACGGAATATTTGAAAGTCAAGAAAGTTACAGCATAGGTTTCGATTTTGCTCCATTAGTAGTGGGTGCTGGTGATTTCAACAAAGATGGACGTTCAGAAATTGTTGTTGCATACGATGGCATCGATTATGTTGATGTGCTTGTTACATCTAACACCGGATCTTTCGCTCATCAAATGACATATTCAACAGGCGCTACCCCATACTCTGTAGCTGTTGGTGATTTTAACAACGACAACCGACTCGATATCGTCATCTCTAACTATGATGACAATTCTGTCAGTATACTTCTCGGATATGGCAATGGCTCCTTTGCAAATCAAATGACCTATTTAACTGGCTCTCAGCCAAGGTTTGTAGCTGTGGGTGATTTTAACAACGACACCCGACTAGATATCGTCGTTGCTAATGCTGCTGATAACACTGTAAGTGTTCTTCTTGGATGTGGCAATGGCTCTTTTGCCAGTCATACAACATATTCAACTGGCTCTCTCCCATACTGTGCAGTTGTTGGTGATTTTAATAACGACAACAGACTCGATATCGTCGTTGCTAATCAGAAGGACAGCACTCTAAGTGTCCTTATCGGATACGGCAATGGCTCTTTTGCAAATCAAACGACATATTCAACGGGCTCTTTCCCATACGGTGTAGTTGTTGGTGATTTTAATAACGACGCTCGACAAGATATTGTTGTTTCTAATATGAAAGTCAACACTGTTAGTGTATTTCTTGGATATGGCAATGGCTCCTTTGCGGATCAAATGACCTATTCAACTGGCTCTAAGCCAAGGTTTGTAGCTGTGGGTGATTTTAATAATGACACCGGACTAGATATCGTCGTCGCTAATGCTGCTGATAACACTGTAAGTATTCTACTTGGATATGGTAATGGTTCTTTTATCAATCAAACGACATATTCAACAGGTTCCAACCCAACTGCTGTAGCTATTGGTGATTTTAATAACGACAACCGACTCGATATTGTCGTCGGTAATTGGAATGAGAACACTTTAAGTGTACTTCTCGGCTATGGCAATGGCTTTTTTATGAACCAAATGACCTATTCAACTGGCTTTACTCCTTCATATGTGGTTGTTAATGATTTTAATACCGACAACCGACTTGATGTCGTCGTCGCTAATGTGAATGCGAAAAGTGTTACTATACATCTCGGATATCCGAATGAAGGTTTTATAAACCAAATGAGACTGACAACTGGCAATGGATCTCGACCTAGGTCGTTCACCAATGGGGATTTTAATAATGACGGTCAAATAGATATTGCAATTGTGAATTCAGGCACTAACAACATCGGTATTTTTCTTGGATATGCCAATGGTTCTTTCGCAAATCAAATGACATATTCAACTGATTTCTCTCCATGGTCTGCAGCTGTTGGTGATTTCAACAACGATACCATACTTGATATCGTCGTGACGAATCATGGCAATGATAATGTTGGTGTATTTCTTGGATGTGGTAATGGTTCTTTTTTAAGTCAAAAAACGTTTACTACCGGTTTTAACTCTGAACCAAACGCGGTTGCCATTGGCGATTTCAACAACGACACCTTTCTTGACATAATTGTCGCCAATTATGGCAGAAACAACTTAGGTGTGCTGCTTGGGTATGGTAATGGCTCTTTCGCAGATGTAAAGCTTTTTTCGATCAGTCATGGATCTTTTCCATTCTTGCTTTCTATTGGTGATTTGAACAATGACGGAAAGTTAGATTTCGCCGTCGTCAACGAAGGAGCTGACAATTTAAAAATTTTCTTACAGACTTGTTAATATTGTAACTGCTTGTTTGATTTTTCTTCATTGATTTCCAATTTCTAACTTCTATTCGGTGTTACTAATGTTTCGTTTATTTTTGTGGAACTCACATATATTTTTGAAGAAAACAGGGAATGTAAGTTTTAAGTTTAAGTTTCGCGGCTGCTCCTTCCCTCTCCATTACAGACATTCCCCCATTACAGACATTCCCCCATTACAGACATTCCCCCATTACAGACATTCCCCCATTACAGGCATTCCCCCATTACAGACCTTAGTAATTGACAATAAACGGCGTCAGATTTCCAAGAGTTTTTTTGTAAAATTGATCAAGTTATAAATTTGAAAAATATGAATGTTATTATATATGGGCGTGCTCCGCCACAGGATACCCCGACTTCTTTTTTGCTTATATAGCCTTATTCAAATATTAAGAAAAGGCAATTTTTTTACCATTTATACTATACATGTGATGCTAAAGATCTATCATTGTTTGAGCTCTATGTCTTATTGAAAGCAGGGTTCACAAATACTTTTTTTTATAGATGTTTTGTTAAAGTGCTTCGCAGCTAGTCTCTTAACGTATATCATCTCTTATATAGAAAGTTAAACTTAAAGTACACCAGAACAGCTTTATTATCAAATATTTGTTCAATCAACTAGCTAATTTTTCATGCTCTCTATTTACGAATAGGATGTTTAATTAAGTTAAAATTACACAAAGCACAAACAACCTGTGAGATCTTGGTAATTTTATCAAAATCGTCAATAGTTCCTCTGTAAATACTGCCAATAATAGCATAAGTTTTGATACGTTGATTGATGTTTTCGATAGCTGCTCTTGCACTATTAATGTCATAGTTAAAGCTCTTTTCTTCACTTGTTAACTCGTCTCTTTGAGGTTTCTTCTTTGGAGTGATGACATATTCTTCCCCAATATAAGCTTTATCAGCAATAATCTACACAGAGTCATTTACATGTTCTAACAGACCCGACTCTCGTGAAATCGTTATATCATGGACGCTTCCAAGATAACATTCGGAAACGTGCACTATTGGATGATTAAAATCACAAGCTATTTGTATTTTAAATGCATAATTCGTTGCACTTTTCGGATGAAAATAAGCTTTACGTTGTTGTGTATCTTCTGTTTGAGGAACAGCAATAGAAGTTCAATCAACTATTAATTTATGATGTTCTTCAGGTCCATGTGATGCATTTCTACTATCCATATCAATTGGTAATGAAACTAGTTCGGGATATACACATGAATGTAAGATATCCACAACCTTCGTTAAAATACGATGTATTGTAGAGGGACTTGAGTATACTTCAGTGGCAATATATCGTTCCGAGTGATAATGCTTCAAGTGCCACAACGTCACCACAAGTAAGTTCATAGGAGATAAAGATGCTGTGTTGACATTGTCTGATTGCTGTTTGGTTCTATGCAAGCAGTAATTTATAAGTGACTGTTCACACATCGAATATAATTGATGTACTTGTTCAATATCATGTCCTGTATGTTGTACACAGGATTGATTCGTACGACTCCATTCAGACCATGAACGTTGTTCTACAAAATGTAAAAAAAACAAAATGTATTAACGTTCCTAATCTGCCCAGGATTATACGATAAAAAATGTTGAAATAAGAAAACTACGTTTAAATCAATTACTTAAGTTTCACTCATCATTATTCAAGATTTGAAGCTGTTGAATAGCAATATGCTTCTCTTCTACTTCCTGTGGTTTATCTTCGATTTCTGACGTACAATGAATACACTTATCACGATGTCGGAAAAAGTTTGTTTATAATCCAGATCTTCCCGAACCTATGCATGTCCAAGTTAACATAGAATGACAGTTAGTACAATATTTTCGACGATCAGTAATGCTTGATCGACATTAAGAACAACCCCATTCTACTTGCGGAGATGACATAATGCAAAGTATTTGTGTTTGTATTTGACTGAAAATGTGTTCAAGAAAAGACAGAATGCACAAAAGAAAAAAAATTTCTTAGTTCGAACACGAATAATATGATCAAGGTACAGGATACAATCGATTGAATAGAATGTTATTATACACAAAATATATACAAAGGAAAAGATAAATTTCAGAGAATAAAGGAGAAAAAAAAGAATATCATCTCCTCACATGTCCCCACAAAACGATAACTACTAATAACCGATATACGTTAAGAGATTAGCTGCAAAGTACTTTAACAAAACATCTATAGAAAAAAAACAATTTTTGTGAACCCTGTTTTCAATAAGACATAGAGCTCAAACAGCGATAGATCTTTAGCATCACATGTATAGTATAAATGGTTAAAAAAATTACCTGTTCTTAATATTTGAATAAGGCTATATAAGCAAAAAAGAAGTCGGGGTATCCTATGGCGGAGCATGCCCATATGAGTTGATTAATATTTATGATAGTATGTAAGATCTTCTGTAAATATCATAAATATATAAAGCAAACTTATTTGTCAATTAGTTCAATGCTTATTATAATAAAAATGGTAAGTTAAAAAAAAACGAATTAAAAAGAATAAAGCAGAATGATGAGCGAATAGCAACAAAGGAAAGAATAGGGCACTCGTAGAAAAAAATTATAAAAAGTCTCTTCGAAATACAGAAATTAGAGAGGTTCTGATTTCAATGATTGGTTATTCTGCAAAACAACTATAGTCTAGGAGAGATTTTTCACTTTACGTTTTTCGCATTAGTATGATGAGTCCAGACAACATATTGAGTTCTACATTTCTGTCCCAAACGGACTGCGCTAACAAGTTTTTCTTTTCTATTTATCTTTTGATTTATATACTCATAAAAAATACATTTCAGCGTGGATGTATCAGCCAAGCAATAACGTGTTTCCACCTTACTTTGAAAGTTCGCGTAATTCAGTTTTGACGAAGCATCTATTCAAATGACTCATATGATCACAAATACGATACATAATCCACAATAGGGGTGGACCATTTACATTAATTTAAAATTAAGTTTAAGTTTCTCACTTAACACTTGATATTAAGTGATTCAATGATTGAAATGAAAAAAATTTATGTCATGCCGATTTTTTATCAAAAAAAATGTTGAATAGACAAAATACTGAGGAAAATCTTATAGAGTCAGACTTGCATTACAATAATAACTAGGACTCATCGTTATAGCTATTGTAAACAACTGTAGTCTTTAAATATTGTATTCACTAATAACAATAATCCTTCAGTATTATTCTCGATCCTGTAAAAATACTCTACGTACAACCAGAGTCTGTGATCCAGTTGTTCGCACTCTGATTGGTCTAAAATTGAAACTACATTACTTAATCATAGAAGCACTATATCGAACTTTTGTCGGAGCCATCCATAGTCTATATGAGACCATGAATCCGGATCGAAGGTCTAGTTTCATAGAAACTCTATTGGTTGACTAGGAACCAGAAGGAAATGAGCTACGCTTGAAATTGCTCTATACAGGTGTTTCAAGATGAGGAATTCAAATATGAGATCCGTTTTCACAGGAACCCCATTTGTGGGACAATAAACGATAGAAAATGACTTTTTCTCAAGGTATGAGTAAGAGTGTGTTTTTGGAGGTGCGACGATTTTGTTCTTCACAGTATATAGCCTTAGTCTCCAAGAGTTGGATGAATCTAACCCTGATTCAGACTCAAGTTACTGCACGATGAGTTTCATTTGATTTGGGTTCGAAAATCGTGTAAGCTTGACTTGACCGTTCAATTCGAGTCATCCAATTGATTCACATGCAAAACTAGGAGTGAATGATAACACACCAAAATCAATGTCACAAAAAATTGATGTTTTACTGCAAGAAGAAAACATAGCGAATGGAATTAGTTTCAAACTAGTGACTTCATATCAATAACTTACTAATCTTTCAATCGTTATGATATTCACCCCCGCTACATCATCATTTTCACGTGCTCTCTCAAACGACTTCTTAATGAAACTACAACGTTCAAGGCAATTCGGCCACACTAATATATGCATTTTAAAAGTTTTAAAATGCTGTAAGACATTAATTCGAATTGTAGTAGATAATTATTTTGCTCAACGAGTTTAAGTTCAAGCATTCTCTTAAAAAAATGTCTTTTTTCTACTATCTAAAACTGCATATTAAAGTGTTAGTTTTACTTCTCTGGTTTTATAATTACTTTAGAATGCATGTCTCATTCTACATTTTATAGATTTTCTATTTTTATTTTTGCGGTTAGATACTAGAAACTGGATGTCGTATTAAGAGGAACTTTTCATTGAGATTTCTTTTAGCAACAGCGAATACCTTATTTGAGAAAAAAATTCGACCCGGGTCGATTTGGCTGAAAACAACTACATCTGTACCACAGACGACTCCAAGTCGCTACGAAACGATGCCAACTCGAATCGACTACATAGATAGATTCACTTGTCCCCTCTTATATCCACACAAAGACTCGAAATTCGCGTCTTTAGCTATTGGAACACATTAATTTTTCAAAACACTTATTTTCTATTGGTTTCTCATCTTATAAAACCTATCGAGAGCTTCGACTGAAGCTCGAAATAGTACTTATATGATTGAGTAATGTAGTTTCAATTTTAGATCACTCAGAGTGCAAACAAATGGATCACAGATTCTAATTTTACGTTGAAAGTTTTAGAGAGTTGAGAGTAATACTGAACAGAGATCAGCACAGAACAATTTTTTCTGTTCTGTCCCCTTCTGTCCTGCTATCAATCGTGTCATGTTGAGCGACAGGACAGGAAATTTTCAAGACAAAAACCGCACCTTTAGTTTTCAATTCAGTAAAACAAATATTTAACTCGTCAATCAAGTTGTGACTGATGCATTTCATGATTTTCTCATGTTCTGAGCATCCATTCCATATAATTTCAGCAATTTTTGCATCGATAGGGAAGAAGGGTAGATTATGGTAATGATGATGAAGTACTTCATTGAACAATGATAGCAGACAAGCACATGGTTATAGAATATTTGTTTTTATCTTGCTTAAACGTATTATTCCAGCGTTTGTAGAATTACTAAATGCGTCACAGGGTTTAAAGCATCTAACATGTTCAAAGATCCATTAGTATGTATTTTGCTAATCTAATTTAGGCGAACGTCGAAAAAACTTTCAGCTAGACCATAATACTGCTTATGGTTCATTTTTTATCGTTTTGTTATGAAAATTTTTGAGCCTTTCTGAATCCAAAGAATTTTCGAGTGTAGAAGATAAGTTTACTGAGGGTGTGGGTGTGGGTCTAGGTCTTATTTCCACAAACACCCACAGCCAACCAAACCCACACCCCACACTCCGCCCACACCCACACTCATACATCCACACCCACACCCACACCCTTATTTCAGTATGTCAAAAGCCATCTTATGAACCATATTATTCGCCATTTAATAGTGTTCATCCATTACACATGATGAAGAATATAGCATTTACTATGTTACTTCGTGTTATTAGGTGTTGTTCAACATTTCAGGCTTGTTTGAATAAATGTGAAAAGCTACGAATGGCATTATTATTAAATAAATATCCAAATAAATTTATTGACGAGCAATGTAATAATTTATTGTGGAAGTTTAATATTGATCAACCATCGACTCATAATAATTATGCTATATATCGTGAAAAAGTTATAGATTTTCCTATAAAAGAAAAAGTACCAGTCAACTATGAAAAGATAATATTCGTTCATTTCACTTACTGCACAAGTATGAGAATATTTCCGACAAAATTCAATGCTCTTTGGAAAAAATACTTCGGTGAATCTACGATTAATCAAATCTTACCTGTTCTTGGTACACGCAATGTGAAAAACTTACAAAGACAATTAATATATACAAGATAATTTAAATGCTCATTGTTCAATGTGTCATTAGAGTGTTTATTTTTATTTTTGAAACACAATTGGCTTGATTCGATACGATTTATATTTTAATTGTTACGTCTTCAAACAATATACACGAAATATGTTTATATGTTTTGGCAAACATGTCTTGTTTTTATTTATTATCTGCCATGTTTGTTTTCTGTTTGATGTTTATGTTTATTTATTATGACACACGAACACTATGCTTATATTCATACGTTTTGATTCGATACATGTGATATATGCCTGTTTATTTTGATTCACTACACATGGCATATGTTTTTTCGATCTATCACGAGTGTCCTATATTTCGATATGATATACGTACGTTATGTTTCCATGTTTGTGATTCGAGGCATGTGCCTTATATTTGTTTAATATATTTTGATTGGACACATTAGCCTTAATTTGTTTATTATTTTACAATAATATACACGTGCGTTATGTTTATAAATTTTGATCTGGTACAAATGGCTTATGATTAGTATAGTAATTTACATGTATTTATTAACCATTTATTGATAATTATAGAATAACATTAAAAATACAATGAAATTAGATTTAATTAACTTAAAGTTATTTAAGATGATATGCAAGTTCAAGAACTTGTTGAACAACTTCATCAAAGAAAATGTACTGATCAAGTAATATTTAAAAACTGTCATTAAATTATTTAAGAAAATGTATATGTCAGACCGAAGTTATTAGATTTTAAGCAATTTTATTTCGGTTCAATAATTTGGCTGTTTTTATATTTTTATATATATTTTGCATTTTACATTATATACTTGATTGATAAGATGATAAACAGTGGCATTAAGAAGATTGTATTTTAAACTTTATCTTTTTTTATATTATTATAAGAGATTTTATGTATGGAACGCGTTATCTTCCACTTATATTTAGAAATATTAATATAAATCGTTATACGTATGTTATCCCCATCGCATGGGAGACGACCGAAATCAAAATCTCTCTCTGGTATGACAATTATGGAAATGAATCAACGGATTAATTTTTCATTATTGAATTTATTAGTAAATATTATAAATGCCAAGTTTAGAACCAATTTTGATATTGCAAGACAATGTAATAATTAAGGAAATATGATTTTAGTTATACGTAATCATATGGAAGACGACTTTAATTAAATATTACTTAAAAATAATACTCACTGAAAAATTCCAGTTCGGATAATATACTAAGCTGCTAATCTTGAAAAGCTTGTGATAACCCATTCAATAATTCCATTAAAATAGGTTATTTTGGTCAAGTTCAAAATGATTTTCAATTTTTAAATGGCAAATTTTTAACATTTGTTTCGAATCATTTAGCTAGTCCAAACGTCGTGAAATATTTTAATTTAAGTTAGATAATTTTTCTATAAAATTTTGGATAATTTCCCATACATACATGTTCCCCCTTTTTATCCCCTTTTTTTATTTCCTTTTACTTTAACTTCATTTTATTTTTTCCATGTTAATTATTTCATTTTGCTTCACTGCTTATAATTATAAATGCAGAGCTCTGATGAGTGTTTTAATATTTCAATAAATAACACGAAACGCGTCGACGAAAATAACTCTGCATTTCTTTCATTATTTTAATTGAAGCATATTCATTTATATTTATTCAATTTTAATTTTGTTTTCGACAGGAAATCGATTGCTGAGAAGCAAGAGTTGAGACTAGCAGATTGAACTTGTCTTTTCATTAAGAGATAGGTCAGTATGTTTTCAATTGATTTACCCACACCCTCAAATGAATATAAGCTAATAGAGAAGTATATGAATCTTTGAAATAATAATGTGAGAAGATGTTTTTAGAAAAATAAAAAATGTATCCTTCTAAAGATGACAAAGTTTTCGCTTGTATATGAAGAAAAACGCGATTTTTTCATCTTTAGTTGTTTCGAATTTTGTTGGACGAAAAAGGTGGCAGCCAAGGTCTAGTACATGTTGTAAAGAAGTGTAATGTGTTCTATAATTTTATCAATTATATAATGGTTAATGCTTTGTATTTAATTTGAAAAACATTTGTGTACAATCATTTTCCTGAATTTTGAATTTCTGTGACTATAATTATTGAAAAGTCCTAATAAACGTCATTCCATTACAAATCTATTTATTATTAAAATTTTAAAATTGGTCTTCAGAATTTTAATAGCTAACTATGATCTACAAACTCTGAAAGTTTCATACAGTTTAGAAATAGTTCTGTATTTTGTGGTTGAGATCTCTTTGAAATATCCGTCTCTTTCTCTCTCTTTGTTCTCACTTCGCTACATCCATCTTGATCCACATTTTCACTATGAAAGAAGGAGTGTTGACCAGACATCTATTAATACCACTTTACTAGCATTTGAAGTAAATATATCAAGCGATTAATTTTATTCAAATATTAAAATAGTAAACTAATTAGAATAATAAAATAAATTGTTTAAAATAAGTTGATTAATAACAGGATTAGTAATGAAGATATTAAAAAAATGTTAAGTCATATTGCAGTAAAATAATTAGAAAATTTTAATTGTATCATAGATTTCTTATTCAATTATAACCTTTTCCGTACCACATCGACCGAAGTTTTCTGGTGAATACATTTCTTCGGCTTTAGCTGGTGGAATGATAAATGTTCCAGCACATGTTGCACGCATTACATAAGTCCATTCATATACACCAGGCCATAATAACGATCGAAATGCTTCAGCACGTTCATCTCGTAAATTTTCATGCTCAGTCCAACCAATAGTTGAATATGGTCGACATCCACAATAATAAAGATTTCTGTTTGATCTTGTTACTGATGATTGTGTATCGCCAGTCAATGTACCTTTTAATTTTGTATTTAATGGTTCACAGCCAGCTGGTAAATAATCAACTAATGCTATGTGATATCGTCGTTGTGTTGTTGTCATTATTAATATGACTTTGATTTTTTCACCTAACTTGAATTTCCATGTACCATCTGATTGTTTCTGAGCATGTGATGAATCATTGATAGCTATGTATGTGCGTTCAACTTTAAAACCATAGTTAACTGCATTTAATTGTAAATTTGATGGAGCATAATTCAATGCAATACGATAATATAATCGGCCATTACCATCTTTGTGCATGATTAAATTCTTCTTATTATTATTATTACTTGTATCGGATGATGATGGTGATAAGATTACTTTCATCGGAATATTTACCGTGTGTGTATTTGTCGTTCGACCTTTATATTAAGAAAAGATGTCAGAATACATTAGATATTGTGAAATCATCATGCTAGTAGTACTTGAGTTAGAAATAAACACTATCCGAAAATATATTGAGTAATATAGGAATATGAATTATTGCTAGAAGTCACAAACTAATAAATATTAGGGTTAATTTGTCTTCATATCATACATGAAGTTAAAGAAATAATTCAAAATCTATTAGAAAAGAACTGAAAACTTATGAAAGCTAGAGTTTAATATACGCATATTTAGAAATAGATAGATAGAAATAATTTCTTGTAGACAAACAGAACTCATTTAAGGAATCTTGAGGTCTAACCAAAAATTCTACATGAATAAGCATATTATCTAGAAAACCACACTCCATTTTGATCTTAATTCTATACTATAATGCTGCTATATGAATATGATTACATTCACAATATTAGTGACAAAATCATCATTGTTCTTATGGCATGATCTTACCTTTATATTGATGTTGACCACAATAATCATTGTCAAGCCAAATATTAGCAACAAAATCTGGTGTATCTTTTTCTTTTATGTGAAAATATTTATCTAATGCAATTAATACAAAACAATTTTCCTGTATAGATTTCCATGCACCTTTCACTTTATGTGCTTGTAAACCTTTACATAATTTAGTACAGAGANCTGAGTTTATTTTTGAAAAATTTTATTACCAAAATGATCAGAGCAAAACATGCTCTACAAACCCTGAAAGTTTCAACAAATTTGAACGTGGTCGCCGGATCGACTGGCGATCTCTGGTGGAGGCACCCATATATGTCATGGAGAAATTTCAATAGTGTATTCGTATAAGTATTATCATTGATTCATCAGAAAAAAATTCATACGAAGTCTTTTTAGGATCTTCTTTTTTTATTTGCTAATTATACATACTAATGCTTATTCAGACGGTGTATCCCTCGGGTTTCTTTTAGTATTTTGTCTAGAAGATAGTGACGCGTCAAATATATAAAAAAAATAGGAGTAGAACACTTTGTGCAATTCGTTTAAAGAAAAAGAAGTAAAGCGTATGGCAATATATTTCTACCAGTAGAGTATTATTTGAAAACTTTAGTAATAGAATGTTTCAGTAAGAAGGAAGCAAGCATGCCACGTATATGAACTATCCTTAGAAACAATAGATAATAATTCAATGTGTAAACTAATAACATGTTGTTAATATCATTAATTCTTAGTTGTCTAAAGCTAAAATTATTGTCGTTGGCAATCTAAAAGATTTACATATATGATTATGAACTAAATCAGTCGTTTTCCTTTTCTCGTTTTGAACAATTGACAATCATATTCATTATAATTATTATTAGATAGAAAGTTTAAAAACAACAAATTCATTGAATCTAAATCGTCATTTTTAGTTGAACTAATAAACAATTTATCGATCGATCTGTTTGTGGTTCAATTATTTTTGTTATAATTATTATTAGATAGAAAATTTAAAAAAGAAACAAATTGATTAAATCTCACTCATCATTATCAGTTGAACTAACAAACGGCTATTCATTGATCTGATCGTGGCTCAATTGTATTCATTAAAATTACTATTGCACAAAAAATTAAAAACAAAAAGAAATTCTTTCAATTTAAATCACCTTTATTAGTTGAACTAATTAACAATTATTGATTGATCTGATTGTGGTTCAGTCATATTTATTATAGTTATGGGTGTGGGTGTGCGGGTGCGGGTGCGGGTGTGGGTGTGTGGGTGTGGGTGTGGGTGTGTGGGTGTGGGTGTGGGTGTGTGGGTGTGGGTGTGGGTGTGCGGGTGTGGGTGTGGGTGTGAGGGTGTGGGTGTGGGAATGGGTGTTGAGTGTGGCTATGAGCGTGAGAGAAGAGAATAACCACACCCACACCCTATTCTTCTTTAAAATCGTAAAACGTAGTAGTCATCATCTGCAGTTTTTCTCGAAACAACTCTAGACGGTCATGTCTATTATCATTGAACGGAGCAAAACATCCAACCACTATTCCACCAGCCCGTTCAATCAGTTGTGCAGAAGCCAGCATTGACCCTCCTGTTGCTATAGAATCATCGATTATAGCTATATGTTTTCCATCGATTAACTGTTTTATTGCCTGATCATAAGCCATTTCCAAGCGTTGAGCTTTTGAATAGACCATTGAATAATCTTTCTGTAGAGTAGGTCCGGGCAGTTCGCCGACCTTTTGTATGCAGATTAGAGGTAACTGTAGGAGAGCTGCGACAGTAGGTCCATACAAATGTCCTCGACTAGCATTACTTGCCAAACACTCAATCGACGGTGAATTGTTCTCAATCACCGTTTTCAGTCTATTAATTATATGTAGATAAAGTGGTGGATAGAGAAGAACGTCGACAGTACGATGCTATTGTAGTAGACCACAATGTGAAAAGCAAGGGATATTGTGACGAATAAATGCACGATCGTTATAGTTCATTGTTGTCGCTTCACTCTTGAGTGGATTATCATTTGTTTGTTGTTGTCTTAACTTGTTTTCCTCTGACATCGAAGTTTTAATGTCATCATTGTTATCCAGGCCGTTTTTCATCATTTTATCACCGAGTTGCTGTTATCTAGAGCGATATGCAATTAATCAAGATAGAGAAGGAAAATAAATAAACATTTAAACGTCTCATTAATTTAGCCTTTTAGTCAATGCACGGTAAAGCATCTGCTCTATGTGCCTATTGTAATCTATTGCCAAAGTACCTAGTTGTCACCTTTGAATAAACTGTTATCTGTCGAAAACAAAGAAGAACTGTATAAACTCCCTTATTCCAGATTTGCTACTGACAGGTGCTCTTATTTCAAGGGTGTGGGTGTGGGTGTGGGTGCGTGGGTGAGGGTGGGTGTGGATGGGTGTGGATGAAGAGAACATCCACACCCACACACACACCCTAATAATCGTGTAAGCATTATTCTGAAAAGAATTTAACACTTCTTGATAATAGATTCTTATATATTCATGGATTTGTGCACATTACACGCATCATTAATCTACTACAATCCTATTGAAAACTTCTTATAAGTGCTCCTAATCAGATTATTTTATATGCTGAATATAGATATGATTTTGAATTCCATTTTGACAGGTTTCATTGGAGCAAAGTAACAAAAATATTCTTACAAATGTAAAAAAAACAGCGAATTCGTAATGAGAAACAGTCTAGTAGACATCTTTGTTTTGAAAACTTTTTTCAGCGCGCTATTTTTTTTACTTTGTTTGCATATCAAAAGATGTAGAATTTCATGGGCTTCCAGATTCTATCCTTGTTTTTGTGGGATCGACCTCCTTTGATAGTGCTTTGACCCCAAAACTGAAAAAATAAATTTTAAATAGCGATAAAATTTTACTTTTTGAATCTTTGTTATTGATGATAAGTATTGATTAGCGATGTTTTATATATGGTTTTGTAGATCAGATTTTGCGCTATCGAATGGTATATAGCACTTATAGATTCGGTGAAGTTTTGATGAAATATTGCACGTACAAAAACTTCTTCAAAAACAGCATTTTTTGGCACTTTCGATGAGAGTACATCACTTGTATCCGTTATATCTGCTCACCAGATAAACACCTGACTCTAATATTTTGGATTTTGTATATTAACATCATAGTCTTCAAAACTATATATGAAAGATCAAAATCTGAAATGTACCTCCGGATGGTCTCTAGTAGAGCTTGTCGTTTCTCTCGTGAAATCTCCCTTAATTCTAAACTTAACGAATTTTTCGATTATATATCAAGAAAAACGTGATTTTTCATCTTTGTTTGTTTGGAACTTTGTTGGATGAAAAAGGTGGCAGTTCGGGTCTAGTGCATGTTTTAAAGAAACGTAGTGTGTACTATAATTTCGTCAATGTGCTACACACCTGAAAGAACAATATTATGAAGATATTTACAAATTACTATTTTTTACTGAAAAGCTATTAAAATATATATATATAATGGTTAATGCTTTATGCGTTTAATTTGAAAGACGTTTGTGTGAAATCATTTTCCTGGAATTATAATTTTTGTGACTGTAATTATTGGAAAACGGTAATAAATGTCATTCCATTACAAATCTATTTATCATTAAGATTTTAAAATTGGTCTTCAGAATTTGAATAGCTAACTATGGTCTACAAACTCTGAAAGTTTCATGTGGTTTAGAAATAGTTCTGTATTTTGTGGTTGAGATCTCATAGAAATACCCATCCGTTTCTCTCTCTTTGTTCTCACTTCGCTACGTCCATCTAGATCCACATTTTCACTATGAACGAAGCAGTGTTGGCCAGACATCTATTAATACCATTTTACAAGCATTTGAAGTAAATATATCAAGCGATTAGTTTTATTCAAATATTAAAGTAGTAAATTAATTAGGATACTAAAATAAATAGCTTAAAATAAGTTGATTAATAATGGGATCAATAATGAAGATATAAAAAGATATTAAGTCATATTGCAGTAAAATAATTAGAAAGTTTGAAATGTATCATAGATTTCTTATTCAATTATAACCTTTTCCGTACCACATCGACCAAAGTTTTCTGGTGAATACATTTCTTCGGCTTTAGCTGGTGGAATGATAAATGTTCCAGCACATGTTGCACGCATTACATAACTCCATTCATATACACCAGGCCGTAATAACGATCGAAATGCTTCAGCACGTTCATCTCGTAAATTTTCATGCTCAGTCCAACCAATAGTTGAATATGGTCGACATCTACAATAATAAAGACCTCTGTTTGATTTTGTTACTGATGATTGTGCATCGCCAGTCAATGTCCCTTTTAATTTTGTAATTAATGGTTCACAACCAGCTGATAAATAATCAACTAATGCTATATGATATCGTCGTTGTGTTGTTGTCATTGTTAATATGACTTTGATTTTTTCACCTAACTTGAATTTCCATGTACCATCTGACTGCTTCTGAACATGTGATGAATCATTGATAGCTACGTATGTTGGTTCAATTTTAAAACCATAGTTAACTGCATTTAATTGTAAATTTGATGAAGCATAATTCAATGCAATACGATAATATAGTCGACCATTACCATCTTTGCGCATGATTAGATTCTTCTTCTTATTATTATTACTTGTGTCGGATGATGGTGGTGGTAAGATTACTTTCATCGGAATATTTACTGTATGTGTATTTGTCGTTCGGCCTTTATATTAAGAAAAGACATTAGAATATATTAGATATTGTGAAATCATCATGTTAGTAGTACTTGAGTTAGAAATAAACGCTATCCGAAAATATATTGAGTAATATAGGAATATGAATTATTGCTAGAAGTCACAAACTAATAAATATGAGGGTTAATTTGTCTTCATATCATACATGAAATTAAAGAAATAATTCAAAATCTATTAGAAAAGAACTGACAACTTATGAAAGCTAGAGTTTAACATACGTATATTTAGAAATAGATAGATAGAAATCATTTCTTGTAGATAAAGATAACTCATTTAAAGAATCTTGAGGTCTAACAAAAAATTCTATATGGATAGGGTAAATTATCTAGAAAACCACGTTCCATNATCGTATAGCGTTGAATTATGCTCCATCAAATTTACAATTAAATGCAGATAACTATGGTTTTAAAATTGAACGAACATACGTAGCTATCAATGATTCATCACATGTTCAGCCCAACCAATAGTTGAATATGGTCTACATCCACAATAATAAAGATTTTTATTTGATCTTGTGACTGATGATTGTATATCGCCAGTCAATGTACCTTTTAATTTTGTATTTAATGGTTCACAACCAGCTGGTAAATAATCAACTAATGCTATATGATATCGCTGTTGTGTTGTCGTCATTGTTAATATGACTTTTATTTTTTCACCTAACTTGAATTTCCATGTACCATTTGATTGTTTCTGAACATGTGATGAATCATTGATAGCTACGTATGTTCGTTCAATTTTAAAACCATAGTTATCTGCATTTAATTGTAAATTTGATGGAGCATAATTCAACGCTATACGATAATATAACCGACCATTACCATCTTTCTGCATGATTAGATTCTTCTTGCTATTTGTGTCGGATGATGATGGTGATAAGATTACTTTCATCGGAATATTTACTGTATACGTATTTGTCGTTCGGCCTTTATATTAAGAAAATACATCAGAATACATTAAATATTGTGAAATCACCATGTTAGTAGTAGTTGAGTTTGAAATAAACGCTCTTCAAAAATATATTGAGTAATATAGGAATATAAATTATTGCTAGAAGCTACAAACTAATAAGTATGAGGGTTCATTTTTCTTCATACATACATAGAGTTAAAAAAATAATTCAAAATCTATTGGAAAAGAACTGACAACTTATGAAAGCTAGAGTTTGGTATACGTATATTTAGAAATAGATAGATAGAAATCATTTCTTTTAAACAAAGATAACTCATTTAAGGAATCTTGTGGCCTAACCAAAAATTCTACATGGATAAGTATATTATCTAGAAAACCACGTTTCATTTTGATCTTAACTCTATTATAATGCTGCTATATGAATATAATTACAGTCACAGTATTGGTGACAAAATCATCATTGTTCTTATGATATGATCTTACCTTTATAGGGATGTTGACCACAATAATCTTTGTCAAGTCAAATATCAGCAACAAAATCTGGTGTATCTTTTTCTTTCATGTGAAAATATTTATCTAATGCAATTAATGCAAAACAATTTTCCTGTGTAGACCCCCATGCACCTTTCACTTTATGTGCTTGTAAACCTTTGGATAATTTAGTACAGAGAGTTGAATTTGGATCAATATATAACAATGCTTCTAATAAAATAGCATCTGTTCGTTGATTTGAATGTAACATGACTGATTGACCATCATCGCCATATGATGTAATAAAATTAGCTGTTTCACTAGTTTCACTTACTTTACCTTTGAGATGTTTGCATATTATTTCAATTATGTGATCTTTATTATTATTTTTATCCGTTGATAATGCTATTAATAGCCATCCTAATGCTTCTAAACTAAGTTTATCAAATCCACTAAGTTGAAGTAATTGTGAAGCTTCGTCAGCTACATATTGAAGATGTTTTGCTCGCACATATAATGCATAACTTATCAAACTAAATCGAGTTAAGTTAGACCAATATTTAGTGTATGATAATTGATTAATTTCAGATTCAATATTTTCAAGATATTTTAGTGAGTTGTTCAACATGTTCTTGTTAACATTAAATACCTGTAAAATAATGTAACATTTTTGAAACATATGATTGACATTTAAAAGTTTTTTATAGTATAATTTTAAGTGGAATGCATTCAATGTAAAAAAGAAAAATTATAAAAATGGCAGATTTCATTTGATGTAATCTTTCTTAATCGGTTTTAATTGGTTAACAAACTCTAATCAATTATAATTGATTTAATAGTAATAATCGATTGAAATAAATTAAGAAGGATTAAATCAAATGAAATTTACCTTTAAAGGCTAAAAAAATTTGATTAAAGTTAGATTATACTAATGCAGTTATAATCAACTTCTAACTTTTGTTTTTTACGTGGGATAATGGGATTTTAAACAGAACTTTCTCGAGCGTGCAGTATATCTTCACCTATACAACTGATATTTATTTCTCACTATTTTGAACGAAGAATTCATATTTTTATGAATAAATCATTTTCAAAATTTTAGAATGAATTAGATATTCTACTCTTGTAATAATTGTATTAATAGTCATTTATACAACAAAACTCTTACCTTTTTATTCACAAGAACGGCTAAACAGTGTGCAACATGCACACTCATATATGGAGCAGCGTAACAGTCATTTCGATTTGTCCAATAACCAAATCCACCATTTGAATATTGACGACCTTTTAGTGTATTTAGATCTGACTCTAGTTTAGTTTTCAATACTGATACTTCAGGTAAATCTTTACAATGAAATGCTTGTAAAACATCCCATAGTGCTTGTATACCTAACAGTCTTGAACTTAATTGTTCTGTACATTCATATGGATATGTATAGAGTGAAATAATTGCATCTGTTAATGATGCTAATGCTGTTGAACTTGTTGTTATTGATAATTCACCAAATTGTGGAATAACATTTTTTGGTGTCTCTACTGGTTGTAAAACTACTTCTTCTTCACATATGTCACCGTATGTTGCAAATGCTTCAGATGTTGCTGGTGTGAATACAGGTAAACTTCGTTCAATGGCATCATCAAATTGTGCACATGTTTCCTTTTTGATAGTACTAACTATGAACTGAAATCGGGCAGTACCAGAATGAATGGTTGACAACGGAAATATAAGAGCAGCACGTTTACTGGGTTGCAGTACAATTGAATAACCAACTGCTTGTTGATTTGTTTGTGATGTTAATAATTTAGCATTAGTTGCTCTTAAACCAGCATGTAGTAAGACGGATAGATCAGTTTGATTTTGTAAAACAACTGAGATGTGAGCTGTATCACCATAATTAAGAAATCTTGGTGGTGAAGGTCGAATCATAATTGGTAATTGTACAGTAAATGACATTTCATCTAAACCATATTGTTTGTCATTCGTTGTTAACGCCCATACACGTTAGCGTGTTAGATTATCAGGTAATTTAATTTCAAGTGAAACACGTCCTGATGAATTAGTGATAGATGATGGTATCCAACATGCTAGTGGATTGAAATTCGATCGAACAGCTATTTTCTTTTCAAGATTAGAATCATCGAAACGGACATGTCCGAAAGCTACTGAACAGTCCATAGGCATAAAGTCATACATCGCTCTTGCACTGAGCGATTCGCAGAGCTCGAATGAAGATTGTCTTTGTTGTATATCTTTCTTAAATTTTTCTATATCTTGCATATTGAATAACAAACAACGATTTCTATCATGGTATTGTGTGATATTTGCTGACCGATTAGGATAAAATATATCTAATGGACTATCTAATTTCTGACCAGTTAATGACAAAACCACTTCATCAACGACAATGAGGCAAATTTCTGCATTGTCCACAGGCGAGTTATCTACATGTTGCGTAACGTCGATATCTATATGAGCCAGTTCGTGTAAGCCACGACCGAGGCTGTTCAATCGAGGTCGTCAGATCTTGTTCATTTTCTGATATGTTGTAGAGGGAAGAGTTCTAAGAATATTGATGAAAGAATTTTGAAAATCCATTGAGCCGTTCAGGTTTTATACTGGTTTTACAGAAACCCCTAAAAAGTGCCAGTTTTCGAAGTGCATATCTAAATGTCAGTATATCTCAACAACGGCTCTATAGATAATGCTCAAATTTTGCATGCAGATATAACTCAGAGAGTTCTACCTGTGATAAAATTTTTGTCCCGAAATATNNCTGAGCATGTGATGAATCATTGATAGCTACGTATGTGCGTTCAACTTTAAAACCATAGTTAACTGCATTTAATTGTAAATTTGATGGAGCATAATTCAATGCAATACGATAATATAATCGGCCATTACCATCTTTGTGCATAATTAAATTCTTATTATTATTATTACTTGTGTCGGATGATGATGGTGATAAGATTACTTTCATCGGAATATTTACCGTGTGTGTATTTGTCGTTCGGCCTTTATATTAAGAAAAGACGTCTGAATACATTAGATATTGTGAAATCATCATGTTAGTAGTACTTGAGTTAGAAATAAACGCTATCCGAAAATATATTGAGTAATATAGGAATATGAATTATTGCTAGAAGTCACAAACTAATAAATATTAGAGTTAATTTGTCTTCATATCATACATGAAGTTAAAGAAATAATTCAAAATCTATTAGAAAAGAACTGAAAACTTATGAAAGCTAGAGTTTAATATACGTATATTTAGAAATAGATAGACAGAAATAATTTCTTGTAGACAAACAGAACTCATTTAAGGAATCTTGAGGTCTAACCAAAAATTCTACATGGATAAGTATATTATCTAGAAAACCACGTTCCATTTTGATTTCCATTCTACTATAATGCTGCTATAGGAATATGATTACATTAACAATATTAGTGACAAAATCATCATTGTTCTTATGACATGATCTTACCTTTATATTGATGTTGACCACAATAATCATTGTCAAGCCAAATATTAGCAACAAAATCTGGTGTATCTTTTTCTTTTATGTGAAAATATTTATCTAATGCAATTAATACAAAACAATTTTCCTGTGTAGATTTCCATGCACCTTTCACTTTATGTGCTTGTAAACCTTTACATAATTTAGTACAGAGAGCTGAATTTGGATCAATATATAATAATGCTTCTAATAATATAGCATCAGTTCGTTGATTTGAATGTAACATGACTGATTGACCATCATCACCATATGATGTAATAAAATTAGCTGTTTCACTTGTTTCACTTACTTTACCTTTGAGATGTTTGTATATTATTTCAATTATTTGAACTTTTTTATTATTTTTATCCGTTGATAATGCTACTAATAGCCATCCTAATGCTTCTAAACTAAGTTTATCAAATCCGCTACGCTGAAATAACTGTGAAGCTTCGTCAGCTACATTTTGAAGATGTTTTGCTCGCACATATAATGCATAACTTATCAAACTAAATCGAGTTAAGTCAGACCAATATTTAGTGTGTGATAATTGATTAATTTCAGATTCAATATTTTCAAGATATTTTAGTGAGTTATTCAGCATTTTTTTGTCAACATCAAATACCTGTAAAATAAGATAACATTTTAGAAAGCTTTGGTTGATATTCAAAAGTTTTCTATAATATAGTTTTAAGTGAAAAGCATTCACTGTAAAAAAGAAAGATTATAAAAATGACAGATTTCATTTGATGTAGTCTTTCTTAATCTGTTTCAATTGGTTAAAAAACTCTAATCATTACATGGGATAATGGAGTTTTAAACAAAACTTTCTCGAACATGCAGTATATCTTCACCTACACGACTGACACTTATTTCTTACTGTTTTGAACAAAGAATTCATATTTTTATGAATAAATCATTTTCACAATTTTAAAATGAATTAGATGTTGTATTCTTGTAATAATTCTATTAATAGTCATTTATACAATAAAACTCTTACTTTTTTATTCACAAGAACGGCTAAACAATGTGCAACATGCACACTCATATATGGATCAGCGTAAGAATCATTTCGATTTGTCCAATAACCAAATCCACCATTTGAATATTGACGACCTTTTAATGTATTCAGATCTGACTCTAATTTAGTTTTCAATACTGATACTTCAGGTAAATCTTTACAATGAAATACTTGTAAAACATTCCATAGTGCTTGTATACCTAACAGTCTTGAACTTAATTGTTCTGTACATTCATATGGATATGTATAGAGTGAAATAATTGCATCTGTTAACGATGCTAATGCTGTTGAACTTGTTGTTATTGATAACTCGCCAAATTGTGGAATAACATTTTTTGGTGTCTCTACTGGTTGTAAAACTACTTCTTCTTCACATATATCACCGTATGTTGCAAATGCTTCAGATGTTGCTGGTGTGAATACAGGTAAACTTAGTTCAATGGCATCACCAAATTGTGCACATGCTTCATTTTTGACAGTACTAACTATGAACTGAAATCTGGCAGTACCCGGATGAATTGTTGACAAAGGAAATGTAAGAGCAGCACGTTTACTTGGTTGCAGTACAATTGAATAACCAAGTGCTTGTTGATTTGTTTGTGATGTTAATAATTTAGCATTAGTTGCTCTTAAACCAGCATNTTGTCAAGCCAAATATTAGCAACAAAATCTGGTGTATCTTTTTCTTTTATGTGAAAATATTTATCTAATACAATTAATACAAAACAATTTTCCTGTGTAGATTTCCATGCACCTTTCACTTTATGTGCTTGTAAACCTTTACATAATTTAGTACAGAGAGTTGAATTTGGATCAATATATAATAATGATTCTAATAATATAGCATCTGTTCGTTGATTTGAATGTAACATGACTGATTGGGTATCATCACCATATGATGTAAGAAAATTAGCTGTGTCACTTACTTTACCTTTGAGATGTTTGTATATTATTTCAATTATTTGATCTATATTTTTATTTTTATTCGTTGATAATGCTACTAATAACCATCCTAATGCTTCTAAACTAAGTTTATCAAATCCACTACGCTTAAATAATTGTGAAGCTTCGTCAGCTACATTTTGAAGATGTTTTGCTCGCACATATAATGCATAACTTATCAAACTAAATCGAGTTAAGTCAGATCAATATTTAGTGTATGATAATTGATTAATTTCAGATTCAATATTTTCAAGATATTTTAGTGAGTTGTTCAGCATGTTCTTGTTAACATCAAATACCTGTAAAATAATGTAACATTTTTGAAAGCTTTGGTTAATATTTAAAAGTTTTTTATAGTACAGTTTTAAGTGGAAAGCATTCAATGTAAAAAAGAAAGATTATAAAAATGACAGATTTCATTTCAAGTAGTTTTTCTTAATCTGTTTTAATTGGTTAAAAAACTCTAATCAATCATAATTGATTTAATAGTAATAATCGATTGAAATAGATTTAAAAAAGGATTAAATTAAATGAAATTTGTAGTTAAAGGCTAAAAATTTTGATTAAAATCAGATTATTGTAATACAGTTATAATCGAATTTCAACCTTTTTTTACATGGGATAATGGAGTTTTAAACAAAATTTTATCGAGCGTGCAATATATCTTCACCTACACAACTGATACTTATTTCTCACTATTTTGAACAAAGAATTCATATTTTTGTGAATAAATCATTTTCACAATTTTAGAATGAATTAGATAATCTATTCTTGTGATAATTGTATTAATGGTCATTTATACAATAAAACTCTTACCTTTTTTATTCACAAGAACAGCTAAACAATGTGCAACATGCACACTCATATATGGATCAGCGTAAGAGTCACTTCGATTTGTCCAATAACCAAATCCACCATTTGAATATTGGCGACCTTTTAGTGTATTCAGATCTGACTCTAATTTAGTTTTCAATACTGATACTTCAGGTAAATCTTTACAATGAAATGCTTGTAAAACATACCATAGTGCTTGTATACCTAACAGTCTTGAACTTAATTGTTCTGTACATTCATATGGATATGTATAGAGTGAAATAATTGCATCTGTTAATGATGCTAATGCTGTTGAACTTGTTGTTATTGATAATTCACCAAATTGTGGAATAACATTTTTTGGTGTCTCTACTGGTTGTAAAACTACTTCTTCTTCACATATGTCACCGTATGTTGCAAANAGGAAAATTGTTTTGTATTAATTTCAGATTCAATATTTTCAAGATATTTTAGTGAGTTATTCAGCATTTTTTTGTCAACATCAAATACCTGTAAAATAAGATAACATGTTTGAAAGCTTTGGTTGATATTCAAAAGTTTTCTATAATATAGTTTTAAGTGGAAAGCATTCACTGTAAAAAAGAATGGTTATAAAAATGACAGATTTCATTTGATGTAGTCTTTCTTAATCTGTTTCAATTGGTTAAAAAACTCTAATCATTGCATGGGATAATGGAGTTTTAAACAAAACTTTCTCGAACATGCAGTATATCTTCATCTACAAGACTGACACTTATTTCTTACTATTTTGCACAAAAAATTCATATTTTTATGAATAAATCATTTTCACAATTTTAGAATGAATTAGATGTTGTATTCTTGTAATAATTCTATTAATAGTCATTTATACAATAAAACTCTTACCTTTTTATTCACAAGAACGGCTAAACAATGTGCAACATGCACACTCATATATGGATCAGCGTAAGAGTCATTTCGATTTGTCCAATAACCAAATCCACCATTTGAATATTGACGACCTTTTAATGTATTCAGATCTGACTCTAATTTAGTTTTCAATACTGATATTTCAGGTAAATCTTTACAATGAAATGCTTGTAAAACATCCCATAGTGCTTGTATACCTAACAGTCTTGAACTTAATTGTTCTGTACATTCATATGGATATGTATAAAGTGAAATAATTGCATCTGTTAACGATGCTAACGCTGTTGAACTTGTCGATATCGATAATTCACCAAATTGTGGAATAACATTTTTTGGTGCCTCTACTGGTTGTAAAACTACTTCTTCTTCACATATATCACCGTATGTTGCAAATGCTTCAGATGTTGCCGGTGTGAATACAGGTAAACTTAGTTCAATGGCATCACCAAATTGTGCACATGTTTCATTTTTGACAGTACTAACTATGAACTGAAATCTGGCAGTACCAGAATGAATTGTTGACAAAGGAAATGTAAGAGCAGCACGTTTACTTGGTTGCAGTACAATTGAATAACCAAGTGCTTGTTGATTTGTTTGTGATGTTAATAATTTAGCATTAGTTGCTCTTAAACCAGCATGTAGTAAGAAGGATAGATCAGTTTGATTTTGTAAAATAACTGAGATATGAGCTGTATCACCATAATTAAGAAATCTTGGTAGTGAAGGTCGAATCATAATTGGTAATTGTACGGTAAATGACATTTCACCTAAACCATATTGTTTATCATTCGTTGCTAACGCCCATACACGATAGCGTGTTAGATTATCAGGTAATTTAATTTCAAATGAAACACATCCTGATGAATTAGTCATTGATGATGGTATCCAACATGCTAGTGGATTGAAATTCGATCGAACAGCTATTTTTTGTTCAGCATTAGAATCACCGAAACCGCCATATCCGGCACCAGCTGAACAGGCCATACTCATATATTTGGGCATTGATCGTTCACAGCATAATTCGATCTGGTCGAATGAAGATTGTCTTTGTTGCATATCTTTCTTAAATTTTTCTATATCTTGCATATTGAATAACAAACAATGATTTCTATCATGATATTGTGCGATATTTGCTGACCGGTTTGGATAAAATATATCTAATGGACTATCTAATTTGTGACCAGTTAATGACAAAACCGCTTCATCAACGACAATGAGGCAAATTTCTGCCTTATCCACAGGTAAGTTATCTAGATATTGTGTAACGTCGACATCTATATGAATAATTGATGATGGTGTATATGTTTTATTTGTTTCTTTCGTATTAATCAAAACATTCAATTTATAAACATCTCTTGATACTTCTAATGTTACTGAACCAGTGGCGATTGCTGGGCGATGTGGTGAATCAGTCACTTCCGTTTCTCTTGGGATTGAGCCTGTTAGTTCAGCATGGATTTTGAAATTTGGTATCCAGTCTTTTGATATTTTAAATTCAACAGTTGTTGAGTTTTTTCCAGATTCTATCTGAAACTGTATTGGTTGTGAGACTTGACCTTCACAGTCAAATATGACTAGACCATTTGCTGGACTAAACGGTGCTAGTATTAGTAATTCACATGTGTCATCTGGTTGATAATTTTTTGCATTTGGCACAATTGTGATTGTTTCCGTTGGAATATAATCTACTTTTTGTGTTTCTATTTCTTTTTCGTGACCACCAGAGACATAAAAGTTATCATAAAAACTCATAGCCAATCGTCCTTGTTCATCTTTGACACTGTATGACATGTTGTATCTACCCCCTAATATTAAACAGTACTTAGAAAATGTTGTCAAAAGAAGTACATCGATTATTTTTCAAATTAAAAATCGCTGTTAGATTGCCCTCAACTCTTAGTATACGATAACTTTCTATATGTTCGCTTGACAGTGCAAGTTTTAGAAAAAAATGAAATAATTTTCTATTCATTTTTTAATTCATTTTTCTTCTCTTTAACTAAAATATGTAGAGGATCAACAAAGTCTAAACTGTCAAGGCATTTCTTTTGATAAANTAAGAGCAACTAATGCTAAATTATTAACATCACAAACAAATCAACAAGCACTTGGTTATTCAATTGTACTGCAACCAAGTAAACGTGCTGCTCTTACATTTCCTTTGTCAACAATTCATTCGGGTACTGCCAGATTTCAGTTCATAGTTAGTACTGTCAAAAATGAAGCATGTAGTAAGAAGAATAGATCAGTTTGATTTTGTAAAATCACTGAGATATGAGCTGTATCACCATAATTAAGAAATCTTGGTAGTGAAGGTCGAATCATAATTGGTAATTGTACGGTAAATGACATTTCACCTAAACCATATTGTTTATCATTTGTTGCTAACGCCCATACATGATAGCGTGTTAGATTATCAGGTAATTTAATTTCAAATGAAACACGTCCTGATGAATTAGTCATTGATAATGGTATCCAACATGCTAGTGGATTGAAATTCGATCGAACAGCTATTTGTTGTTCAGCATTAGAATCACCGAAACCGCCATATCCGACACCAGCTGAACAGGCCATACTCATATATTTGGGCATTGATCGTTCACAGCATAATTCGATGTGGTCGAATGAAGATTGTCTTTGTTGCATATCTTTCTTAAATTTTTCTATATCTTGCATATTGAATAACAAACAATGATTTCTATCATGATATTGTGTGATATTTGCTGACCGGTTTGGATAAAATATATCTAATGGACTATCTAATTTGTGACCAGTTAATGACAAAACTGCTTCATCAACGACAATGAGGCAAATTTCTGCCTTATCCACAGGTAAGTTATCTAGATATTGTGTAACGTCGACATCTATATGGATAATTGATGATGGTGTATATGTTTTATTTGTTTCTTTCGTATTAATAAAAACATTCAATTTATAAACGTCTCTTGATACTTCTAATGTTACTGAACCAGTAGCGATTGCTGGGCGATGTGGTGAATCAGTCACTTCCGTTTCTCTTGGGATTGAGCCTGTTAGTTCAGCATGGACTTTGAAATTTGGTATCCAGTCTTTTGATATTTTAATTTCAACAGTTGTTGAGTTTTTTCCAGATTCTATCTGAAACTGCATTGGTTGTGAGACTTGACCTTCACAGTCAAATATGACTAGACTATTTGCTGAACTAAACGGTGCTAGTATTAGTAATTCACATGTGTCATCTGGTTGATAATTTTTTGCGTTTGGCACAATTGTGATTGTATCCGTTGGAATATAATCTACTTTTTGTGTTTCTATTTCTTTTTTGTGACCACCAGAGACATAAAAGTTATCATAGAAACTCATAGCCAATCGTCCTTGTTCATCTTTGACACTGTATGACATGTTGTATCTACCCCCTAATATTAAACAGTATTTAGAAAATGTTATCAAAAGAAGTACATCGATTATTTTTCAAATTAAAAATCGCTGTTAGATTGCCCTCAACTCTTAGTATACGATAACTTTCTATATGTTCGCTTGACAGTGCAAGTTTTAGAAAAAAATGAAATAATTTTCTATTCATTTTTTAATTCATTTTTCTTCTCTTT